CTCAAACAGTGTGTAACTTTAACACAGTAGAAAACACCATAGAAATGACTTGTAACAGACCTTTCTTAACTTCAGTGAAGGTAACAGTCTCCGACTTAAAGACTCCTGCATTTACTGCAACACATATGTAATTCCCTTTATCGCTCATTGTAATTTCTCTTATGACCAAAGAACCATTGATCTGCTGACTACGCCCAACGGGCAGTTGCCCTGCTTGTTTTTTCCACCTGATGACTGGTTGTGGATCACCAGAAGCGCTGCAGTTTAACTTCAAGCTTCCACCAACCCACGCAACAACTGTAGCAGGTGGTTTAACAGTGAATCGTGGAGGAGAAACAACAACTAAGAGAGTTTTCTTTTCCACGCGTCCCAATAGGTTTGATGCTGAACAGACGTAAAAGTCAGAATCATCTTTACGAAGATGAAGAATTTGTAATGCACTGTTGCTGTACTTCACTCTTTCCTGGGGTAATTGACCGGATGACTTTCTCCATGAGACCACGGGCGCAGGATACCCAGTCACGTGACAGGATGGGAGAGTATAATTACTTCCTTCAATTGTGTGATGAGGTCCCGGATAAAGGGAAACATGAGGGTGAACTGCAAAGAAAATTACTTTCATTGTGAAATTTTGGAAACTAGAATAAGTATCAAATATGATGAGATCTGAACGATACTGAAACAAATTCATCACTAGTTTGAACTAAAGCCTAGACAGAAGTGCTCAAACCGCAGCAAAACGACTGTAAATAAAAAAAACTCCGAATTCTCTGTGAAAAGGAAGAAAACCAGGAAATGGTGTCCTATTTTTAACGTCACTCGATGCTTATCTCGGAAAGAGTTTTCTGTGATATATACTAGGGACTCAAAGGCCGTTCCTACTTCGCAAACACAAGTCGTGAAAATTGTGGAAATATGCACTTAATATTTTGACAGAGGAAGTTCACCCCTTGTCTTTGTCTTGCATAAATAAAATGAGATGCCAATTGCCCCTAAGACACCAAGAAAGCAGTGTTCAGTATAAAAAGTGAGATTATACAATGTAAAAGATGATATCGATCAACGCAGTAATAGCCGTAGCTTTCCCGGTTACCAAAAGAGAGCCTGAAAAATATCAATGTTGAAAGTTCGAACATTTGACATCGGTGACAGATAAGCAGCTCCAGGGACCGCCGGGTTGGCTTGTTAGCTCAATTGGTAGAACGCTTCTAAATTTTTCAGGCTTTAATTTTCCCAAGTAAAAAACGTGCGTCTATAACCGCTATGACCTTCCTTACGTTGAATTATTCGTTCTACAGCTTCAATAAATTTTTATATATTTTAGTGCACTCTTCACAAACCTGCTGCGACCTGGATTCTGAAGGACTGGGTCTAAATAGGAATTCAACTGGCCAAGGTACTTGCTATCAAGGCTGCCAAGAATACTGGATGAACTGAGAGCACCTGAAAATATAAAGAAAAAAATCGAAGAAACAAACAAAACGCTTGCTATAATTATATTCATGTGGTCCAGGAACCATAATCATGGTAGGAGACCGTAACTGGATACCTTTTCCACTGATGGGGTTAGTTAGTTCCCCTGGGGGGTACTCCTGGAAATTCTTGGTGGGGGTGTACCTCCTGGTTCTCCAAATCATGACCCTTTTTCAAACTAATAAATGTCATTTTTTGCACCAGTTTCAAGACCTGGCCTCTAAAATCCACACCCGTTTTCAAACCTGGAGGTGGTCATTAAACGCAACATTACATGTTTACATAAAACAGAACTTATATCATCATTGCTGAGATTAAAATCGCAACAAAAGATTTCTTAAAATCCGCTTCGAATTCGTATTTTACACTTTCTTATTCTTTTGGAATTGAAACGACGAACGCATTGATACTCAACCGTAGTTCTGTCGTAAGCCATACCCGATTCCAGACCAAAATGGCCAAAATCTATACCCGTTTTTAGACCAAACGGCGCAAAAACCCTACTCATTTGGGCGGCACATACCTATACGGCTTATAAAAGGGAGTGCCCCCCCTGGGGGCTGGTTCCATCGAAATAGCCAAAAGTGCTATTGTTAGCACCAATTATGCCAAACCGTGTGACACGCGCACGCATTTTTTGCAGGGCGCCGCACAAAGGATAAACAAACAATATGGCGTCGGAAATTCCCTCGTTAGGAGACACCGAAGTAAGACTTTGCGACTGGTAAGAATTTTTTTTTAATCAGTGCCATACAAAGAGTTTTGCGTTTTTTCTCGGGAAATTTATTTTATAAAAGCAATAGAAAACTATTTTCCTGTGTTTGCATAGCGAAGCGCGCGGGCCATAAATCGATGGAAAAAAACGAGGATCCGTAGTACGGACCGCAAAAACGCAAAAACGAGGCTAATAAGATGTTTATTATATGGCTTCTTCCAGTTTCGGGGACCGGAAACAAGTGAAGGACGCGCGATTTGACAATTATTTGACAGGCGTCAAGAAAAAAAGTTTTTATTGGCTCACGAAAACAATAGCACACAACAAAGGGTTTCCGAGAAACTGAAAACAAATTCGCCATGTTGAAAAAGTTTATTTGGTCACAACTAAGAGCGCTGTAAGTTTTAGCTCTTTAATGTAACGCTGGAGTATTTTGGAAACCGGGCACTGTGAATTTGGCACTGTGTCTTTCTCGAAGTCGTTTCCATCTTTCCTCCGTTGGTCCTTGTAAAAAAAAAACACTGCAAAAGGCAAAGAAGATTTTCAAGGTACGTTTGTTGTCATTGTCAAAGATTCGCTGGTTAATTTTTTTGGGAAAACCTCTCGAATTTCTGCCAGTTCATTCTCGTCTTCAAGCATGATCTGCGTTAAAATTTTCAAACACGGACCATATTTTCTTCCACGGAAAGGTTATGATTCAGTTTCTACATCAGCTTTGTTCTCGTTGGAAAAAAGCTAGGTTAAAATCTTGAAAGGCAAAGTCAACATCCCAGTCCTCAGGGTTTACAGACATATTTTTAAGTATATTCGGTCAAAACTAAGAGCACTGTAAGTATTCACTCGCCAATGTGACGCTGGAGTCTTTTGAAAACTGGACATTGTGTCTGGCTCGGAGTCGCTTCTATCTTTCTTTCGTTGGTCTTTGGAAAACCACTGCAAATAACAAAGAAGCTCGTCAAGATGATCGGGTGTAGGCATGTTTGTTATAATATTTGTCGAAGGAATTACTCATTTTCTCTTAGGCAAAATATCTCGAATCTCTGTCTGTCGATTTTCGTATTCTTAACTGTGTACTACGATAAAATTTTCAAACACTGACTAGAATCCTCTTCGATAAGATTACGAGTTAGTTTCTTCATCGCCTTCGTTCACAAATAAACACAGTTTAAAATGTTGAAGGACAAAGCCAAAATCTAAGTCCTCAAGGTTGATAGAATTTGAACCTTTTTTCCGACGTAAAGAGATTTAGAGCTCCGAAATGAGCATTTTCTTTGCAATTTTGGTCCGTATAGCAAGTTACGGACCGCAAATTGACCAATCGCATGGCGAAAACAGACTCAGCCACATAACAATTTCAGTTATTGTTCTTTAGCTTTTGTTATATTTCTCAAACAGTGTGTAACTTTAACACAGTAGAAAACACCATAGAAATGACTTGTAACAGACCTTTCTTAACTTCAGTGAAGGTAACAGTCTCCGACTTAAAGACTCCTGCATTTACTGCAACACATATGTAATTCCCTTTATCGCTCATTGTAATTTCTCTTATGACCAAAGAACCATTGATCTGCTGACTACGCCCAACGGGCAGTTGCCCTGCTTGTTTTTTCCACCTGATGACTGGTTGTGGATCACCAGAAGCGCTGCAGTTTAACTTCAAGCTTCCACCAACCCACGCAACAACTGTAGCAGGTGGTTTAACAGTGAATCGTGGAGGAGAAACAACAACTAAGAGAGTTTTCTTTTCCACGCGTCCCAATAGGTTTGATGCTGAACAGACGTAAAAGTCAGAATCATCTTTACGAAGATGAAGAATTTGTAATGCACTGTTGCTGTACTTCACTCTTTCCTGGGGTAATTGACCGGATGACTTTCTCCATGAGACCACGGGCGCAGGATACCCAGTCACGTGACAGGATGGGAGAGTATAATTACTTCCTTCAATTGTGTGATGAGGTCCCGGATAAAGGGAAACATGAGGGTGAACTGCAAAGAAAATTACTTTCATTGTGAAATTTTGGAAACTAGAATAAGTATCAAATATGATGAGATCTGAACGATACTGAAACAAATTCATCACTAGTTTGAACTAAAGCCTAGACAGAAGTGCTCAAACCGCAGCAAAACGACTGTAAATAAAAAAAACTCCGAATTCTCTGTGAAAAGGAAGAAAACCAGGAAATGGTGTCCTATTTTTAACGTCACTCGATGCTTATCTCGGAAAGAGTTTTCTGTGATATATACTAGGGACTCAAAGGCCGTTCCTACTTCGCAAACACAAGTCGTGAAAATTGTGGAAATATGCACTTAATATTTTGACAGAGGAAGTTCACCCCTTGTCTTTGTCTTGCATAAATAAAATGAGATGCCAATTGCCCCTAAGACACCAAGAAAGCAGTGTTCAGTATAAAAAGTGAGATTATACAATGTAAAAGATGATATCGATCAACGCAGTAATAGCCGTAGCTTTCCCGGTTACCAAAAGAGAGCCTGAAAAATATCAATGTTGAAAGTTCGAACATTTGACATCGGTGACAGATAAGCAGCTCCAGGGACCGCCGGGTTGGCTTGTTAGCTCAATTGGTAGAACGCTTCTAAATTTTTCAGGCTTTAATTTTCCCAAGTAAAAAACGTGCGTCTATAACCGCTATGACCTTCCTTACGTTGAATTATTCGTTCTACAGCTTCAATAAATTTTTATATATTTTAGTGCACTCATTGACTAAAGTAAATGGAAAAGAAAAAGTCTTCAGCATTTAAATGTGTCTGAGGCTTCTATTGCTGCAACTTAGTTTGAGAAAAAAAAAAAAAAAAAAAGGTGAGAATAGTTTTGTGTAGTGTTCGTATTATTTTTAAATAACAAAAGACGACCTTCTATCCATACAATCGCCCAAGTCACAACAAACTTACCATTTACCACAAGTTGTACCAGTGCATTCGCCCTTCCAAAGATATTGACCGCTGAACAGTTGTATTTCCCGGCGTCAAATCCCGTCACCTTTTTTAACAACAGCTTTCCTCCCGACACCACTGAGGGACTTATTTGTGGCATACTATTCAGTTTACTCCATTTTAGTGCAGGTTTAGGATTACCACTCACTGAACACTGAAACGAGGCTGATCCACCTTCGTTAATTGTCAGTGTTTTAGGGGACACAGCAATAACAGGAGCTGAAATCGATTCACCAGGTTCTCCTTTAGCTCCCGGCATGCCTGCAGGTCCCATGTCTCCTTTTTGTCCCTTGAGTCCAACATCACCCTTCGGACCTACAGGTCCCATGATACCTTGCTTGCCGCTCTTTCCGGATGATCCCATGATACCTTGGTCTCCTTTCTGTCCTCTTCTTCCACGGGACCCTTTCTTCCCCCTCAGACCTGGTGGCCCGGGAGGGCCTGGGAGACACGAGCTACTTTGCGATAATGAGTGGTGCTGTTTTAACTCTGACAAAATTTTAAGCATTGTTGCTTCTACGTTTTTATTTTCCGTCTTGTTCTTGATATTATCAGCATTGCGCCTTTCCCTTCGATGGTTATCGGAATGAGCGTCTGAAAATGCAACATTAATCTGTTCCATCACTGTCAGCAAAAAAGAAAGTCGGGCACCAAACCATTTACTGGCCTTCGGATACAGCCGTCTCCTTGCCGTTAGGTGACGTCTGCGACTCAGCGACAGAAATTCCATACTGATGACGTAAACTCTGTCCAACGTAGAAGTTACGTTGTTTTTGCTCTTGTTTATGAATAACAGAAAAAAGGACAAAAGGCCACAAATGTCAAATGCAAACGGGATGAATCTACTTAAAAACAGTCAAGATTCGTGCAATATATTCTTTTTTAGAAGAAACAGCGAGGCTCGTTCACAGAAAAACACGAAACTTTACCACAATCGACCAGGAGAAACAACAAATCGAAGAAATTTCCAGTTGGGACTCCATGGCGACCAGATTTGTTATGTAAGCATTAATTTGCGTCATCAATATAGAATTTCTGTCGCTGAGGCGTAGACGTCCCTTAGGGCGAGGAGCAAAGAGAGACTGCTGTATTCGCTGGCTAATAATTTACAAGCATTTTTGTTTTAGGCAAATGCCTTATACCATAATTATTCAGAGCTGTATCACTACATTTTTCCTACATTCTTGTCTATTACCTTCCCTTCCTCTTGCACTTAAATAATAAAGAAGTAGTGATTGATTATCTTACAATTGTTTATTGGGGCATTGTATACCCCTTGATAGTCTTAAACGAAGCTTAATGATCATCAATAAAAGTTTTGAAAATGAAGAAATGATCGTCGCAGTGAACGCAATTTATGCAGTTGCGTAAAGAAGCCTGAAAAAAATTCAGGACTTCAACGGGGTTCAAACCCGTGACCTCGCGACTACCGGTGCGATGCTCTACCAACTGAGCTATGAAGCCAGTTCATATATGATTTATTTCATATATCATTAACACTCATTTCTTTCACGGGAACATTTGAACCCACAATTGACCTGCTCACAACGTTAGTGGCTTCATAGCTCAGTTGGTAGAGCATCGCACCAGTAATCGCGAGGTCAGGATTTCAAACCCCGTTGAAGTCCTGAATTTTTTTCAGGCTTCTTTACGCAGTTGCAAAAATTGCGTTCACTGCGACGATCATTTCTTCATTTTCATTTCATTTCCGCAGTTCATATATGATTTATTTCATATATCATTAACACTCATTTCTTTCACGGGAACATATGAACCCACAACTGACCTGCTCCCAACGTCAGTGGCTTCATAGCTCAGTTGGTAGAGCATCGCACCAGCAGTTCATATATGATTTATTTCATATATCATTAACAATAAAAGTTTTGTATGTAGAAGTGATGAGAAAAGAATTTTCAGCAAGCGTTGATAAGCGTACCCAGGTCAGTTCAGTTGAAATCTTTTTCTTTTTTTCAAGACTCGCTCAGTCTTACACCTGCGATGCTAACAGCGATTGAAAAGATATCAGTACAGGATATTTTCCGGTCAGACTCGAATGTTCCTCGACGCGGCCTAATGTTGTTGCTGTGTTGTGTTTTTGTTTTTTTTAATGCTTTTCNACAAGTCTGTGTTTTCCTTGTGACTTGATTTCATTAAGAGATATCGTCCCGTTTTTATGTACGAGCGCGAAGAAAATGCTTAATTTTCGCTAATTTCATACTCGAAAGAGCGCCGATTTGGCTTTTTTTAAACTTTGCGGAAAAAATAAAAAAGCCGTTACAAGTTTTAATGTGATTTTTGACATAAGTGTACTATAGAGATTATGTGGGCAAAATATGAAGAAATTAAAAAAATTCACGACTGTCAACCGATTCTCGAAAATTACAGACGTTGGCTCTTAAAATTTGTCAACATTTGATTCTTTTTTTAATTCGAAATGTAACACAATAGTTACTGTCGTTCAGGGCATTCCAGAATTCTATGATCCAGATTCCAATATTTCGGAGCGCTCGAGGAGCTGTTAATCAGTAAAGTTTTTCTCATTGTAAAGAATTCTCGTCACTACAACAATATTCTGTTTATACTGAAAGGAAGAGGGACAAAAAAAGACCATACAAGCTTTCATGATAATAGCGAGTTTTACTACCCTAAAAATATCTAGAGAGGGAATTTAAAAGAAATTAATGGGGTTGTCTGGTAAAGATTTTTTTTCGATTTGCCTGAAAGCGGAAATTAAAAATATTTTTTCACTGGCTTAGCTGTGATTTAAATGTATCGTAAAACATGCAGGATTTAATTTTATGTCCACTGAATAACAGTGCGCCCGATAGTTAGGAAGGTCGATCAATATGTAACTGCAAGATTTAACATCCAAGACTTCCGGGTCTTAAAAGACGACGTTTCTTAATATAATGATATTGACGATATTCATTTAGTAAAATACCTAAAAAACGAAATTTTTTCATATTTTGCTTTCGTTAAGAGAGAGGATCTAAGATCTATTACAAAATAAGCAGAAGCAACATTCTGTGTAATTTGCCGCGATAGAAGCGCCAGGTTGGCATACAGACTACAAGCCACACTGTGGGTCTTTTAGATAGATCTCTGTGGAATTAACAGATTTAAATCTAGGATTAAAGACACAATAACCGTCAGTATGCCCAACCTGTACATCAGATTTAAGCGCGGATTTTATAGAGAGGAGAAGTCGTTACGTCACATTGCCATGGTAGCAAAATTTCTGGATGACAACAAAGCGAAAACGTCACTTAAAAAGTGAATTCGCACTGTTTGAAACTTCATCGATCTTATTCAATTTCATGTAACTTGTAGAATCTTGGCGAAATTGTCTGGGGTTGAATCCGAAAGGAATGTATCGAGTTAGTAAAAGAAAATTAAAAGAAATTTCTTGTTCTGTGTTCACCAACTCCATAAAGCGGGCGCGTGAAATTAGAAATTCAAGTCGCAGACCTGCAACGACGGCTGAGAAGTGTACCAAAAACTGTGATACACGTGCAAAGTTGTTGTTTTGCTAAAATAAACCGATTTCTTTTTTACCAGTCTCGTTGCCGTCGCTGTCGTTGTTCCTTAAGCTCCCCATTGTTGTGATCCAGAAATGTTGCTACCATGATAACGTGACGTCTCACTTCTTCTCTCTATTGATGGCTTGTTTAGCTCGGTATCAGATGAACATTAACGTATTTGTGGTTCGGCAGTCAGGATAAACCAGAACATAGTTATTATAGTGGAGTTGTTAAGAAACCCGTTAGACTCCTTTGTTATATGTTTTTGTCAGCTTTTTCGGACCTGGGACGTGCACAACGTTTAATTGCGTTCCCATCATTTTGAACTTACTGACCAATAGAAACATCGCCTTAATTTATTCAGTCACAAGAATTTGTGAACAAAAAACAATGGATTGTGCAGGGTCAGAGAGCTTCCAACATAAACTACAGCACCCTTGTTTTGAACTTTGATGTTTGCCGGGCCTCTTCTACTAACTATGACCAGAAGGAGAAAAAAAACATCTTCGCGTCAAGTCATATCTTTCATGGCTGGTTCAGTCCCTTTAGCTCGGCAGTGAATGACTTAGGCCAGGTTTTTAAACGACGCACTTCACATCTGCCAAACTTAATGCATGAATTTTAGTAAATTATTGTTAGGTTACTGAGAATAATGACAGCGAACAGAGTTAAATACGACGTTTGAGACAAATGCCATTATGACTAGAGATACATGTGGCTTTTAAGACTTATTTAACCGGCAGCAGTCAGTACAATAAAAGGCCAAACTATCGTGTTTGTTTAGTAGATGGTGGCTGTGTATGTTGTTTTGAAACGTCGAGTCTTTTTTTTTTAGTAATTTTGTCAAAAACTTACCAGGAGTGATTTCCTTGCTCTTTGTTACGAGGTCAAGAATGTTGGTGTGTGATTTAGCCTCTTCGATGCTTTCAAGAGCTTGTATTCTCTTCTTCTGTTCGTTTAGATCCAATTCTACTCGTAGAAAACCGGCGCAGTAAAACACGATCGACAAAACAGAAAGAATTAAGGGAAAGGAAGGCTTTTTCCGTTCTTTCTGAGCAGTCATTTTGTACTGAGTGCCGCTGAAGTCTGTACTCGCGAGTGTTCGGTTACTTTGCTTAAAAACACTCAGTGTTTCAGCTGTTATACGACACCAGCTTCTCAAGTATCGTGCCAGCGTTGTTCTGCTGTTTATGAAACTTCCTTGTTATGTTCTTTGATACAAAGGATAGGTTATCGCTACTTTCGCGCGATCATTTTTCTCAAGTTTTAAGAGATTAGCTGTGGTCTTTATCCGGCGTTTCGACGGCGTCTTGTTAAAAATCAAAATCTGCAAAATGGAACTTCTATGGGAACGATAGGCTTCCGCGGGTATTCTCTTCAAAATAATATATAAGATACTTTTCTTTATCATAATTATAAAGTTTCGACACAATGTGGAGGGGTGCCCGGAAAACTAATACTGAGCAAAGAATTAAGTTCCATAGAGTTAAGTCCCGGAAAACTAAGACCCAGGAAACTAAGACGGAAAACTAAGACCCGGAAAATTAAGTCCCCTGAAAACTAGTCAGACCCGGAATTGTTAAAGCTAGAAACTGGAAATCCAATACCGTGAGAAGTAAGACCGGGAAATAGGGGAAGTAAAGAGCAAATAAGGGAAGTACAAAGCTGTCATACAAATTCTATGAAAAAAAATGTGATGTCTTCAAGAGGTGTCCGGCTTATAGAGAGACAAACAATGTGACTCCAGTACAAGAAACTAAATCCGGACCTATTTGCAAACTGGCGAATGAATAAATATATGTCTTTTGTGCGCAAAACACTGAATTAAAATTGGAGCAATGTAATAGAAAAGTGGGATCATTCTCTCACTGTGCAAACAATCGGCGCTCATTACAAACAAACGTTCACTGCTTAGAGGTCTAAANGGGAAGTAAAGAGCAAATAAGGGAAGTACAAAGCTGTCATACAAATTCTATGAAAAAAAATGTGATGTCTTCAAGAGGTGTCCGGCTTATAGAGAGACAAACAATGTGACTCCAGTACAAGAAACTAAATCCGGACCTATTTGCAAACTGGCGAATGAATAAATATATGTCTTTTGTGCGCAAAACACTGAATTAAAATTGGAGCAATGTAATAGAAAAGTGGGATCATTCTCTCACTGTGCAAACAATCGGCGCTCATTACAAACAAACGTTCACTGCTTAGAGGTCTAAAAGCGTCACAGTATAGAGTCTGCGAAATAATAAACAAGGCAATTTATGGTATACTGTTTTGATGTATTTTTGACGTATTTTCACTCAATAGAACACTTCTTAAGTGTCCGTTGACGGTTTCAAAAGTGCCTGTTGTCGGTTTTAAAGGGTGTGTGTCCTGAGAGAGTATAGATACAGAAAAATAACAAAAAACGGCAGGAACCAACACCAGCTGTCTGCCTTATAGAGGTGTCTGTTAAGAGAGAGTTGAGTGTATGTCTCTTTTCAAAAATATAACGGAAGGAAAGCAACTTTGGCAACAATGGAAAAGCACACCGATACTTCTTTACTTCCTCTTTCCTTTCCTGGAAAGTATATGCAGAGTGTCTGCCCGCTCATACATGATAATTTATAACAGATATGGTAGACATTGGCTGTGAGAGCAGCTTGCCAAGAGATTATAACAGAAAAATTTTGAACAATTTTGAAGGATAACGAGTCGAAATCCCAATAGCCCAGGACCAGGCTCCGCACTGGGAGAAAAAGGAGAAAAAACTGGCGTGGGCGAAAAAAACATCTGCGAGCGAAGCGAGCCGAGAGGTAGTCTGGGTAGGAGTAAGAGAGGAGGGAGTGTGGAATAGTCTAACAAAGCAAAGTCAGGATGATGTCACACTTTTTGGCACTTTTCCCCCAGCCTAGAAGCCTTTGTCGTTCTTTACTTAGTTCTACACTTCTCAGAGGTAAGGAAGTGTGAAATACTCGTACAAAGTCAGGATAATGTCGCACTTTTCTCCCAGCCTAGAGCCACTTGTCTTTCTTTATTTTGTTCCACATTTCTCAGAGGTGTGGAAGTGCGGAATAGTCTGACAAAGTCAGGATGAAATCGCACTTTTTCCCCAGCTTCATTCTTTACTTAGTTCTACACTTCTTAGAGGTAAGAAAGAGTAGAATAAACTGACAAAGTCAGGCCAATGAAACAAATAAACAAAAAAATCGGGTTACGCGAGCTAGACAGTGTTTTTACTGTAACAGTTAAACATATTGTGGTACACGGAGCCGTCAGCGCCAGATGATATCCAGGAAAATATGGCTTATGGCAATTTTCTTTCTTAAATTGTAGCAAGAAAAGGAAAAGTGTTTATGAAAGTGCATTAGAAGTCCTTCTGACAGAGAGACCTCGCTCTGAGGGGAACTGGGTTAAGAGAATCGGCCGAAAAAGAATTCACAAGGTTAGGGTAATCCTCTGAAGGCAAGAGGGGGCAGCAAATTTAGTATTGGTACGTGCCGCAAAGATAACATAAAATTGCTGACCCTATCAAAAATTAAATAAGGAACTTCAACAAGGGATCAAAAACAAAATGGAAATCTTATCTAAGACAGGTACGTCTACGACTAATGGGTTCGTGACTGGGGAAAAGTGTGAATCACAATATCTTGACTTTGTCAGACTATTCCAAACTTGCACACTTCTGAGAAGTGTGTAACTAGTTATAGAACAACTCCCCGCGAGGACGATGGCTCCTTGGCCGTGTTATCAAGACTTTTCCCGGACAAGACGGCAAAGTCCGTGTGGCAGAAATTAAGACGAAGAACTCTACTCTAACTAGACCAATTTCTAAGCTATGTTTGCTGGAGGAAGCTGTTTAAAACTGTGTTTATCGAAACTTGAGAGTTTTAGAGACTGATTCAAATTACCAGGTTCTAATTAGTAGACTCTTAGTTTTAAGTGTTCCTCGTATTTATTTTGCTGAATCAGTTAAATTCAGCCAAACCCCCCAGGATGTTGGGGCAAATTTTTTTCCTTTTGTTTTTCGTTTTCTCACTTACTTGTTATCGTGTATTCTTTTTCTTTTCGCTCTCCGGTATTTTGTTAATTACGCTCCTTTGTTACGTGCTATATGTAAATTTCGTTATAGTTTGTTATCTCGCCCCTATTTATTACCAGTTTTACGGATCTATTAGTGTAACAACATTCGTCGAAGTAGATTATCTTTTTCCTCGGTGGCCCTGACCACCAACTCTGTTATCCTCAGCATTTGGAATTTACAAAATGAACGGGCAAGGGCCAATTCCAAAACACAACACATGAACTCACGATCAGCAAATGTTTTATGGTTTCGTAATAGTAAAACATTTGCTGATCGTGAGTTCATGTGTTGTGTTTTGGTATTGGCCCTTGCCCGTTCAAAGAGTGAGTGGACCTCTGGGAGTTTAGGCATAGTTCCCATGTACAAATTGTGCATGCCCTTGGTACTACCGTATTTTTCAAGTTGAACAAGATATCCCCAACACGGTATCCCCAACTTCGAGTGAAAGTTAAAATCCGAAACAAAGTTATTACAACAATGTTAAATCGTAAAAAGGAAATTGTTTTCTGTCCGCTGTGAAACAGTTAAATTTTAACTGAGGATTTTAACTTATAACTAACCAAAACTTTAAATAAAAGCTGCAACTTTTATCAGTTTTTATTTGTAGTCGGGTCCGTGAAAATTGGTCAGTAAATATAGTTTTTCATAAACGCGTTACGTCTTTGTCTCGTAAAACA